GCCCCATATCAGGGTTGTCAGCAGAGCCTGCTTCGGATCCTGTCTCCCTCTTTCTGCCCCTCCCCGCTTATGTTCATTTCCTCTTTCTCAAAAATAAATTACCATTAAAGAAATTATAAATACATACATACATACATACATACATACATACATACATTAAAAATAATTTTAGGCCAATAATTGTAAAACTGTAACCTAGAGCTTCCAAAGCTTTCCACAATAAAAGGTAAACATTGAACACTTAAAAAATTAGTCAATGTCTGTCCATGGTAGAAGGATTATAAAGATTTTTACTTTTCCATAATGGGTTATTTCTCTATTTTCTATTTAGGATTGGTGGAGCAACATTCCTCTCCACATCTGCACTTATCAAGACTCTACTATATGGTTAAAAAGGACTCCAATTTTTTTAAAATTTTACTTATTTTTTAAAAAATATTTTAAGTTTATTTTCAGAGAGAGAGAGAGAGAGAGCACACAAGTTGGGGAGGGGCAGAGAGAGAGAGAGAGAGAGAGAGACAGAATCCTAAGCAGGCTCCACACCATTAGTGCAGAGCCAGATGTGGGGCTTGAATTCATGAACTGTGAGATCATGACCCAAGATGAGATCAAGAGTCCTATACTTAACAGACTAAGCCACCCAGGCACCCCTATTTTTAAATGAATTAATATATGTTTCTGGGAGTTGAGTCTGTGTTTGCCTATATTACCTTGAGGTTGAATTCTGACAGAATATGGGAGATTTTTTCCTTGCTTTAGTTTGAACTCGTATTTCCTAGTCCTAAATTGAAATGTGTGTTATCTCCTAACTGGGCAGGGAAATGGGTAGAAGTCAAAGACTGCAGTGCATTTTAAGAAAGACTTCCCAATGTCTGAGTATTGTGCAAGTAAGCACGTTTTCGTTAATTAATGTTTCCTAAAGTTGAGCAGTTTCCTATAAAACTATGGACTGACTTACCATATATTTTTATCTGCTATGTAGGAAAGGGGGATAATTCATTTTATTCTTAAATCTTTTTATTATTTTCATGCTATATCCAGTTGGTATACAAAGACAGAGGGACAATTTCATATACAAGCAAGATTCTAGGCAAACAATGACAATGCTTTTTAAAACATAATTTATTGTCAAATTGGCTAACATACAGTGTGTAAATTGTGCTCTTGGTTTTTGGGGTAGATTCCCATGGACCATTGCTTACATAAAACACCCAGTGTTGTCATCCCAACAAGTACCCTCCTCAATGCCCATCACCCATTTTCCCCTCTCTAACTCTGTCATCCACCCTTAGTTCTCTGTATTTAAGAGTCTCATATGTTTGTCTCCCTCTCTCTCTGTAATGATTTTTTTCCCCTTTCCTTCCTCCCATGATCTTCTGTTAAGTTTACAAAGATGTTAATATGAGATTTAAAAAAAAAAGGATTCATTAGAGTGCTTGGGTGTCTCAGTTTGTTAAGTATCCAACTTCAGCTCAGGTCATAATCTTACAGTTCATGGGTTCAAGCTGCACATCGGGCTCTGTGCTGACAGCTCAGAGCTTGGAACCTGCTTCAGATTCTGTGTCTTCTCTTTTTGCTCCTCCTCCACTCATGATCTGTCTCTCAAAAATAAATAAATGTTGAAAAAAAAAAGGATTCACTCAAACAACTAATTTACATTAACACTATATTTTGTTTAGGAAAAGAGATTCATAAAAGTTGAACATGATTTTAAAATGTAGTGTTTTCAAAGATTTTATTTTTAATTATTATTTTTAAGTAGGCTCCACATAGTGTGGACCCCAACATGGGGCTTGAACTCACAACCCTGAGATCAAGACCTGAGCTGAGATCAAGAATTGGATGCTCAACCAACTGAGCCACCCAGGCGTGCTTAGTGTTTTATTTTTATTTATTTATTTATTTTTTAAAAAATTTTTATAGTTTATTTTTGAGACAGAGAGAGACAGAGCATGAGTGAGGGAGGGGCAGAGAGAGAGGAGACACAGAATCCAAAATAGGGTCCAGGCTCTGAGCTGTCAGCACAGAGGCTGATGCAGCGCTAGAATCCATGAACTGTGAGATCTGACCTGAGCCGAAGTCGGATGCTTATCCAACTGAGCCACCCAGGCGCCCAAGTGTTTTATTTTTAAAGAGTATTAATTTTACACAGGCTACATGAATGTAGACTTCTATATAACTGGCTTTTAATATATTCTGGGGGCATATTTATATGTATGTAAATATATGTATATGTTTTTATAATCTACACAGCTCTGAAATTAGTTTTGAAATGTATGGGAAAGCACGATTTGTTTCATGTGTTCCTTCTTAAGTCTCTGAATAGTTATGTACACTATATTTTATTGTGAAAATGATTGGATGTTATGCAGAATTACTTTCTAGCTGGTGTCATGAGGGATATGTTTTTTTTTTCAAAGAATTATTTTACTATTTTAGAGTGTCTTCTTAAAATAATGACAATTTTAATATAAAATTAATATCCAAGACTTTCAAGAGCACAGCAAGTATTACAAAAATAGTTTGTGAAATCTGATTTAGAATATATTGACTAGAATAAAATTTATTCTTATTAATTTAGGTCATAACTGCTTTTGAACATTATGAAACATATGAATGACTTTATTCCAAGTAAAGATCATTCAGTAGAATCAAACTATAGTGCTTTCCAAAGGAATTTCCTTTTAATGGCTTGCAGATGGTGTTGTGTTCAATGCCAGTGAAAAAAATGAATTCAGCTTTAAGACATAAAACTTTACATGAAATTAATCCCCTGTGTGGATTAAGTGTTTTCACTATCATGGAAAGAAATTTGGAAAAGAGTAATAACAGATATTTAAAAAATGTATTACTGAAAATGTTTGCTAAATATTTTAATGATATTCCTAAAGCAATCCCTTAAATTGAAAGCCACCAAAACAAGTAATTGTCTTTCAGAGAGAGGAAGTCTTTTTAGGGATAGAGGAAGAAAATCTTAACATTTCAATATCTTGTATTTGTTTTTTTCAATCAGCATTTTAAAATGTTAAATATATGAAAACACTTAAAGTTTCTAAAAAATAAGCATTCCTTGTAAAGGCAAAAAATATCTGTAGCCTATTTCAAATGTGTAAATCAGTGCTTCACAAAAGTGGTCCTGTAAGTATAAGCATCACCACCATCTTGAAGATCCTATTAAAATGATGTGGGTGGAACTGGGGGATATATAGCCCAAGGGTCTTATGGGAACTGTAGGGACCATAGTGGCTGGAAGACCAGCTAGGATCTCATTCTCCTTGAGTGTCCCCCGTAAGGCCCAGATAGCCGTAATGAGGGTAAAGGACCTAATTGTAAGCCGCTACTAAAAGACTTGAATTTCATGGCTCAAACTGAACTTGTTAAGAGTAGATTCTCAACTCTTTACTTTTAGAATCCGCTTTAGAAAATGAAGAGGCCTAGACCCTATCCCAGCTCTTATATTAGAATGTGACTTGGTCCCAACTGATTCTGGAACCTTACCTCCAGTACTCACCCAATGTGTTCAGTGCTCTGAATTTTAGGTGGACTGAATTTTCAGCTCTTCCTGGGTGTCAGTCTGTCTCTTGCTTCTAGGCCTCAGCACATAATGTCCTTTCTGTCTTATCAAATACTCTTCACTGCTTCCTCTCCTCTCCTTGTGCCTCCTTCATCCCCTTGGTCAACCAGGACTCTTTCTGCAGACAAGGTGCCTGGATATGTGCTTCCATAGAACGTGGCCTTTCCCCTCTCATAGCAGTTGCGACTGCCTCTATTTGTTTACCTTCCCTGCTGGATTGTGAGCTTCCTGAGGTCAGGAAGCATTTCTCTAAGCTCACTACTCTATTTCAGTGCCTGCCACACTTTTATGCCCTCAAGAAAAATTTACCGAAAGATCAATTCTTTTTTCATTTCCTAAGGGTGCTAGAATTCTGAATAACCACTCAGAAGTAGTAGCATCCCAATATTAACATTTCTTTAGTCATCTATCAAGTCTCTTTTTCTTCATAAATTGAAGACCTGTGGATGGAGTCTTGGGATCTGCTTTTTTTTTTTTTCCTTTTATAAGGGTTGGGCACATTCATTATACCAAGTTGCCCTATGCATTTTAAACATGAAATTACCTTTAGAATTAAGATGGGATCTAAAGGAAGTCCTAGGAACTGGTCCAAAATCCAAACAGGAAGTAAAGAAAGCAGTGGAGAGTGAAGCTGATAGTCATGTGGACTCCTCTCTATCTCAAGAATCCTTTCCTTACACCCATCTGAGCTATGGTGTCCGTTCTGCCCCGGCATCTGGGACCAGTTCTAACTTCAATATAGTGGAATTTAAGTATTTGTAACTGAGTTCTTGGGAAGACTCACAGGTAAATCTACTTTCCTCTAGTTTTACTCTCATTTTTGTTTCATTTCTAGAAAATTCAGGGCCTGTCTTGTTAGGAGATTACTTCCTCCACTTACACTGCACTTGAGGAAACTGGGTGCAGAGCAGCACATCAGTAATTTCTCGCGACCCATGAAGGGCTTACTAGTTTGACCCTAACTGGTCATTCCTGTTCATGTTCAATCAAAAACACACCCAACCCTTGAGAAATATGAGCACATACTACTCACCCTCTTTCTCAAACTGTCCCTCAGAAATCAAATATACCCCTGGGTAGCTTTTTCTCCCTCATCACTTATGCCAGATGTCGGTTGCTGAATTTGTCAGTTCTTTTATTACCAACAACCATTCCATAAGATGTGTTGTTGCTCTCTCTCCAGAACATGAAGTACTCATGTCTATTTTGCTCATAACATCTACTTCATTTGCATGTGGTCCAAGATGAAAACTGTAAGCAGTAGCCTTGTACATATTGGCATTTCAGTCATATGATTCCCTGTGGTCTCCCTAAAGTTAGGAGGTGATTCAATTTGCAATGATTTCTGTGCATGTAATTATTACTATGTAACACAATATTTTAAGAGTACATTAACCCGTGCCTCATGAGATGAAATATGGCATGGCTATACAAGTAGCAGCAGCGTGGATGATCAAGAGTTCAAAAAAGAATGGTATCATCCTTCAGTCATGACTATGTCTGAGATCCATATGCCAGGTCTTGTCAAACTCACGCCTGTGGGTGCCTACGTTCTGTGTCATCTTTACTTTCTGTACACCAGCTAAAAGAAAAAAAGCCAAACAAATGCAAAGTTCAGAGTGCAAATCCCTTTCAGAAAAAAAACATGTAATGTGTATAGTAAAATTCCTTAGGCTAAGGAAAAGATTGTGGCAATCTAAATAAAAACAAGGCTTTAAATAGTTTATGAGTAAGTATTTAAAAAATCCTCTTTGGCCTTTGTGACCTTCATAAAATAGCCCTGATTATCAAAGCATAAATACATCAGATATATGAATCAAAATTTCCCCTACAAATAAACACTAGTGATATCGTGTTAAAATGAAGTCCATAGGATTTGTGGGTAAATGATACTCCAGTACCAGCAGTGTTGCCTGTCTGATCAACTTGCCAAATGGCTGAATTTCTTTCGCAATAGACTCTTCCTTGCCATGATACAGATTGCATTTTTAATTTGGCAAATGTTCACATATTGGCTGTTATGTCCTTGACATTGTACTAGGTACCAGGTACTCAGTGATTAAGCCAGACTATTAAGGACTTACAAGTGTTTTATTTGTAGTCAACTGATGTTCTCCTCTAACACTGGTCCTTGTCTGGAACTAAATCTGGGTTAAGAGAAACGGAAAAGAAAAATAAGTGGGAAAAGCATTTTTCATGAAGAACCATTCTGCAAAGAATACCTTATTTTTTTTCTTTTCTCTCTTTGTCCCAAATCTAATCTTTTTATCTGAGGTTGATATTTATTCTTTGCAAAATGTTACTATTTTGTTTATTTATCCCATATTTTATTTATTGTGATCTATGTCTGCACTGAGGCAAGATAGATGGGAGGGCAAAGCTCTCAGAGTATGGTTTTACAGCTCCTAAGAAAAATTTTCTCTGCTTCTCCTCTGCCCACCACTCTGAAGATTGAGTAAGTATCATGAGGCAGATGAGAGTTAGGTAAACCCATCTCTGCAGGCCTATTAGATTTTTAGATTAGAGGAAGGAGCTACAAGGTCAAAGTCTTAGGATAAACATTTGTCAGTTGCTAGTCAAATTGGAAAAATATTCTCTGTAAGAGATTATAATGAAATTCTCTTCATATGTCTTTTATCAATATTATATTTTTATGTGTGAAAAGAGATTTGTTATTTCAACTTTTTACTTATGAAAACTTTTTCCACTTCATATAATGAATTCAGGCTTCATAGATGTTTTGCAAGATTACTTTTCTTTAAGTATACATGATTATGTACATACATATACAAGTACATACGTGTACATATACATATGTACATATACAAACAGATGAATAGCTTTTTAAATAGAAGTGTACAGGGACAACTAATGAATGTCTTTATTTGTTAATTGTTCTTTCCTCCTGTGGACTTTGAACAGTGCTTTTTTATTTTAGGTAACAGGTAATTCAGTTAAATGAATTGGTTATTTTCAGCCAACAGATCTTTCTTGGCCTCCCACTGGGTCTGAGGCACTGAGTCAGGGGTTGGAATTAATCACCGGGTCAGGGAAAATTCCAAGCAATCGTTAGGGTCTGGAATTGCATACGACATTTCCTCATGATAACATCATAGGATTGAGAAGGAAGAATTGTCTTCCTGAATTACAAACTGCAGAAGTGAGAAGGTAGCATCAGTTAGAGATTTATCCACTTATTAGGGAATTCAAAACTTTTATCATTTTGTAGAGAAACAGCCCATACTGTCATTCTATGTGCCGTTTATACAGCTTTAAAAAAAAAAGATTTACTGACAAGGATGCTAAACTTCTGCTTTTAGAAATTGCCTGAGTAGAGCCAGGGACAAATTTCTGTTTGACTAGAAAGCCATTATTTCCAATACATCAATTGATTAGGGGTAAAAATTTCAACAGTCAACTTTCTCTGTGATGATTTTAGATGTTTTATTATGTTATGAGATTATGCTGTAGCCTATGCCAGAAGCCTGTTGCTGTGAGCTAGAAAGATGAGAATTTAATGAGGTATAAAACATATACACAAATTGCAACGCCAATGATGATGCCTTAATAGCTTAAGAGGCTTGCATAACTGCATTATAAACTGGAACATAAAAAGATACAGCATGTTGACATCAAGCCTGTAAAATCAGCAACCCAAAGGCCTAAGAGCTTCGGAACCTAGAGCAGAGGCAATTTGCTTCAGTATTCTTAGCAACAAAAAGCAGAATGCACAACGTCCGTAGAGAACTATTTTCTTATTCCAAAAGTAAGAAATCCTGCCATTTGTAACAACGTGGATGGAACTGGAGGGGATTATGCTAAGTGAAATAAGTCAATCAGAGAAAGATATCATATGTTTTCATTCATATGGTGAACTTGAGAAACTTAACAGAAGACCATGGGGGGAAGGGAAAGGGAAAGAATAGTTTCTAACAGAGAGGGAGGCAAACCATAAGAGATTACATACAGAGAACAAACTGAGGGTTGATGGGGGCGGAAGGGTAAAGTGGGTGACGGGCATTGAACAAGGACACTTGTTGGGATGAGCACTGGGTGCTGTATGTAAGCAATGAATCACGAGAATCTACCCCCAAACCAAGAGCACACTGTATACACAGTATGTTAGCTAACTTGACAACAAATTATATCATAAAAATAAATAAATAAAAATATGGCTGGATTTATTTCTTTGTTAAAATAAAACAGTGTAAGTCTTACAGAAAGAATGAATTTAATTTTTAAAATAACATTTTCCTCTGTAAATCAGATGACAGAATAAGAAGCTATTTCATTTTTATTACAACTAAAAGCTGAAGCAAAGGAATGAGAAAGACAAAATGGGTGTGGAATGGAAAGGTAATTCTTTTCAAGTATTGGGATCACCACCAATCTAATCTCTGCTTCTCAGTTTATTAAAGAGATCTCTGAAAAATAACCCAGAGAGATTCATTTGTTTTACAACTCAAAGACTGCCTGAGAATCTCTTCCTAAAACTTTTAGTTCTGGAAGTCAGTTCTATTTACTGACATGCCATGCTTTTCTTACTTTCCTAGGTTTACAACCAGCAGCTACTACAGCAGCAACAACTTGGTGAATGTCATGGACAGCCTCTGACAATATCGGGGCTCCACAGCCTTGAGAACTTTCAATATTTCTAGATATTTTTATTCCCAAATTAGGAAAAAAAGTCTGTTGGATTATGAAGAATACTAAATTCGTGGTTATATTTTATTAATATATTTAGAAGAAAGATAAAAAATGAAGGAACAGAATATCAGAAAGATAAAGATACAGCTTTCTTTTTTAAATTGGCCAGACTGCATAGGTTCAATTTCCAGATCGGCTAATTAATAATTTAATAAATGTGTCATCTAGGGTAAATTCCTTATTTTCACTATATTTCTGTCTCCATGTCTGTAAAATGGGAATTATAATGATGGTGATAATAATAATAGCTACCTTGAGGTTCCTTTTTTATTTAGAACAAAGTCTGGTGCACGGTAGCACTCTATATAGAATTAAATGTTGGACAACTCAGTCCTTTCTTTCGAGGCTTTCCCTAATTAATCAGCAACACTGGCAAACCTCTGTTGCTGTGTTTCATATGGATTCAAAACATCTTTATAATCATTTTTGAAGCTTGACACTTTCATACAGATTAAGGAAAATCTAGAGAAAAACTTACTTTGAAGGCAGAATGTTAATATCTAAGTTAATAGTATTCCTCTTAGAATGTGTTTTCTGTTGAAAACTTTTCCTTTTGTTAAAAGGAAAGCACATTCATATTCTCAGCTTTACAGCTAAGTTAAAAACTGAAAAACATTTGACTGTCAAAAGTTTTATTACATGTCAAAACTTGAATTTTTATTTGAATATGATAGAAAAAATTCAAGTTGATTTTTTCTCACTTAAATAGGCAGAAATTTTGTATTTTAATGAACTTTGGAAGTTGTCTCTATCTTTTACTACTTGAGAAAAAAACAGGTATTTCTATATATGAAAATAGAACTAAATAGTATTTCATTGAAAAGTCCAAATATGCATTCCAGTGTTTTCCAAAGTTGTCTGGTTTTATGCATCACTCAGCGTAATTCTTTTTAATGCAGATTCCCAGGGCTCATTCCAGAACTATCAAATCAGAGGCTCCAGGAGAGTTTGTAATAACATGCGGGATGATTCTTCTGATCAAATAAGTATGTGAAGAACTAACTTAAACAAATGTTTCTCTGAATTAAACATGTCTTTGGGAATACTGAATCAGTAAAAGGCAACATGGACTTTCTAAGAGAGAGGTATTGATAAAAATAGCAAGTACAGACCATACCTAAGGAGCTTTGTAAGTGCAGATCTACTCTTGCTGGTTTAATTTGTGAAGAGATTTTAAATATTGATTTTTTTTTCTTTAACAAATGACTTAAACTATCTGCATGTTAGTGCCTGCCAAGGTAGTGTGTGAAATTTTACCAGCTGGGAATTATTCCCTCATTCTCTGGTGTGATTAACACTTCCAGCTGTAGAATAATTAAACTGTCAATCAGTTCTGAGACAGAGCAAAACAGTTTCTCATTTGATCCATCAGTTGGAAGGCTAAATGGGGAACACGTCAGGTGTCTAGCCCTCCTCACAACCAGAGTTCACATCCCACTCCTCTGTTCTCCCCCACCTCCCCCTTTTCTGTCCTTGCGTACACAAACACACGCTCTGGAGGACGAGTGTACGTGCTGCTGAAGTTTGGGTCTTCGAGTTGCCACCAACTTTTGAAAATGTGTTTTATTGATTATCCTTAAGGAATTGGAGGAAAATGAAGTCAGAAGGTTAAGTGATTGTTGAGTGTATGTGCTTTCTGCATGGTACATGTTACTTGGACCATGTTAACATACATTCCATTAATTTTCCCCTGCTTCGAGATATAATTGATATATAACCTTGTATAAATTTAAGGCATACAACATGCTGATTTGATACACTTCTATATCACAAAATAATTACCATCATAGCCTTAGCCAGTATCTTCAACGCTGCACATAATTACCATTGTGTGTGTGTGTGTGTGTGTGTGTGTGTGTGTGTGTGTTCAGAACATTTAAGAGCTACTCTCTTGGCAACTTTCACGTATATAATACAGTATTGTTAACTATAATCACCATACTGTATATTAGATTCCCACAATTTAATCATCTTATAACAGTGACTTTTTTTAGTTTTGAAACTTCTTCCTTCCTGACCTGGGAACACTGACCTGATACATGCCTCCCATATATCATCTTCCATAATGATCAAGCTTCCAGGTCTAGAAGAAAAAAAGCGATGGGAAATCATATCCACAGCATGTTGTTGAATGATTAATGCTACATAATGTTCTAGAGTCTTTAGTCTTGTGTGTGCCAGCATGGCGGCTGGAAAATGCAGGGTGGAAGCAGAAATTCAGATTCATGCATCTCTGAATGCTCCAGCCCCATCTCTGCTTCTTAGATATTCTTTTATAGGTCTCAATGCCTGGAGTCAGCAGTGGCTGTGTGGCTTTTATGTTTTCCTGTTAGAGTTCTTTTTAACTTAATTAAGGCTTTAATAGGAGTTTTATTTCCCTTAGAGGGTTATTGTGAAGTTTAAAGTGGCCTCAGACATAAGTGCCCAAAATACCTGTTCCATCAAATATCTTTTTGAACTTCCTATTTTACTCAGAGGAATATTGCTATTCGGGTATATTAACTGTTTTGGATGAATCTGATACTCCAGGTAATAGACTGTGAGATTTCTATAGTGATTACTTTGGTGGGTGGGGTTTTTTTTTTTTTTTAATCTTTTAAGAGGTGGTAGCAAAATAGAAGTTTCTGGAAAGGGTGCCAAATTGGTGGAAGCTAAAAAAGTTGGGTTTCTGAAAAAAGTCCTCTCATCTGAAGGAGTCCTGAATGTCTCCTAAGCTAGTGCCTACTTTGCTGACAGACTGAACAGCCCAAGTAACATGGTAATAATACTTCTGTAATCTATATATTCATGCCTATACCACCCAAGGACACATGTATAGACTTAACTCTTTAAAGCCCCTTTCTTACCATTTTTCTCCTTCTAAAATAGTTCTTGCACACATGTGGGGTTTATTGGATTTGGGGACCACTAAAAAATTTACTCTTTTTACTATTTTTATTCCTCTTTCTACAATGCCAATTATCATTGTTCCAAAAGAGGTATTAGGACAGATATAATCTTGGCTTACTTTTATGGGCAACAGAATTATTTTACCGATTCCTTGAGTTAGTATTCTTATACATTAAAGGTAATCTTTTCCTCTGATGACTGTGTTTTTATTGTGTGGCTAACATTATATCAACAAGGGCTAGTCCACTGATTTCTTAAGATTCATACTTAAAAAAGGAAATTTGGGATCCAATAAGGGAGATGAGACTACAGTTCAACTAAAGAAATTGCCTTTTAAAACGGACAGTGAAATTCCTTCAGGTACAAGGTGTGCACTTTGAGCTGTGAAAAACTGTAGTTATTGTTGGAATTTTACTCCAGGTAGCAGATATTTTAATGTTGATGAGCCCCAAGTGCAATACTCTTGGCTATTTTTGAAGACTGTAGTGCATTAGAAAGCAAAAAATATAAAGTTACCCCAAAAATGTCAACATTGCATCTGAATGGGTTCAGAGCAAAATCAGTCCGTGCCCTGATGCCTTGTGCTTTCTCTGAGAACACAATAACTACAAATGGTGCCAGAGGGAAAAGGGAAAGGGCTTATGTTGACTTCAAATAAAGGCGATATCTGACAAAAGGGAAGCAAATGGTACCTGGGTACGCTATTAACAAAAGCCTTGTATATCTACAGCTGCACTCTATGAGCACTTTGGAAATTAAAGAATTGCCAGCTTTTCCACTTTGGGACAAAAAACATTTGTGCTAAACAGCCTGTAAGTAAGTGCAGTAAACATATTTTTACAGTGAATAGAATTGTTTTATATTTTGGGGACTGATTGTGAATTTCTACTGCTTCTTGATTAGCAAACATTTGGCAGTTCTCGAGTCTTTAGACATTAAAATGCCAAAACAGATTTTTATTCTCAGACTGAGCTCCTATATTTTTTTTCCTCCCTCTAACAATTATCCTCAAAACATTTGAAAGCACTAAAATAAAATGTGTTCTGAAAACACATTAGGAAACGTTTTACCTGTGTGACTTTAATAAGCATGTAAATAAAAAAGTACGGGGTTGCTATTGAACTTCCTTAGGGCAGAGATGAGAACACAGTACATGCGTAATGACTGTTTAAACTGTTGGTGGCACTTCCTCAGGCCTTGCCTTGGGACCACCGAGGGCTTTATTGCTGTACAGGAAGGCTAGTAAAAACAGATGTTTGTGTGAAGCTTCTTGGGTTTCTCTCTTCGTAGTGATATTCCTGCTCATGTTTTGAAACCCAGAAATTTCTAAGAGATTTACAAGTTTTCAACAGTGACTTTTATTCACTTTGATTTTTAAGAGTCACCTCCTTCTGAAATTTTTTTGTCATTATATTGAAATGACCTCCTTTGGAAGATTCTCTTTTAAATGATAATTTTGAATATCTTATACTTTCACCTTAACAATGCCTTTAAGATCAGGAGATTTATTATATTTGTTTTGCATCCATACTGCCAGTATTATTTTTCATTATGGTTAGATTAGCTAATTAAATAGAAGGCAGCTTTTTAATCTATCAACTTTTACAAAATTTGAAAATTCAAAGAAAACCAGTAATAGCTTCATTTTGCAGTGGCTTACATCTCGGTTGCAATGCAGGATTTTGCAAATCTGTGATTATATAAGTGTGCTGTAGATGTATTTGTGCATGTGTGTATATGAGTGTGTGTGCAAGGGGGAGTCATGGCTTTATCATTATAGTTAAACATTTTCATTAAAACATGATGGTGGTATATTCGTTTGCCCTAGAACAAATTACCACACAATGGCTTAAGACAATACACTTATCGTCTTTCAGTTCTGGAGGTGAGCAGTCTGAAAAGGGCTTCACTAGAGTTAAAATCAGAGTGTCAGCAGGATTTATCTCTTCTGGAGGTCTAAGAGAGACCTGTTGTTTTCTTTCCTCTTCTATTTTCTAGAAACTCCTTGCATTCCTTGGCTCCTGGCTGCCTCCTCCATTTTCAAAGCCAGCAGTGACATCACTCTGGTCTCGTTCCATCAGTGCCTCCCCTTTTCTGACTGATTCTCCTGCCTCTTTCTTACCTTTGTGATTATATTGGTCCCACCTGGATGATCCGGGATAAGTTCCTCATCTTCATCTCAAAATTCTTTGTTTAACCAGAGCGGCAGTCACTTTAGCCACGTAAGATAACGTATTTTTATGTCTTGGGCATTACGACACAGTCATTTTTGACAGGGGACATCATTCTGCCTTTTTAATGGCACAAAATTCTCTACTAATAAGATTCTCACCCTTCACTTCTCCCTTCATCAACACTGCCCACGATTTCTTACCTCTCCTGAATTCCAGCATTTTTACCATCCAACTAGTTCACCTATTACTTCAGGTAACCATCCTTGAGTGTACATGAAATTAATGTTGATGCAACTTGCTCAACCTCCCCCAACACACCTAATTCATAAACTCTGGACTCTTCCTGACTTCTCCCTCAGGTGGGGTGGAAACATTATTTCTAGGACAAAGTTCTTCAAGCTGCATGTCTTTTCTCAGTGCTGCTTCAGTTCCCTGAAACGGAAACACACCTTTCTTCCAGAGGTGCTGTTTCTACCAGATCTTACACTGGAAGTAAATTCTTTCTCTACTTCTCATACTCAAAGTGCAAGGAAGGGCAGCCAGCTCCTTATTCCTTGAAGGCTCTTCCAGACCATTATTCCACCACCACCATTTCACAAGCCCTCCTCCCTTGATGTTGATAACATCTGATGGTTACTTTTCTCTCCCCATTCTCGACATGGTCTGTTTGTTTCCAGGACCACACCTTCATATTCTTCATTTCCTTTATCATTTTGTCATTCTGACTTGCAGGTGTCATTTCTCTTGGAGGCTTTATTGTCCATGTTGCTAACATCAGACAAACTAGTTTCACCTTTAACACCAATGGCCTCCATCATCATGACCCCATAGCCACCCTTAAGTGTGACAACACCTTGAACTTTGAAATTCCTTGGAACTTACTAGATGGAAGATGATGAACTCCAAGGTTCCACTTTGTGACTCTGCCCTTATTCCCTTCCAACTTTTCCTGTTTCTTTATTCTTTCCTGAGCCTGTTCTTCATTTTCATCTGACTCTCTGCCTCTCACTTTCTCTGTTCTCTTCATACTTCAGCCTCTCCTGTGTATCTTCATTAATATTCTAGAGGAGTCCTGGCAAAACTGTCTGTGACGCAAAAGACCAGTTTTTATTTCCCAACCTGTTGTCAACTAATACTTCAGTAAAATATGATAAATATGAATCATTTGGGAATTAAAAATAAAAAACCAAGACATTACTAAACACAAAGCAAAATTTTATAAGATTCAATCTAAAATGATATTTCAATATATATAATCAAAACAAATAAAATAGGATAAAATGATAAGAAGTATAAAAATTAAACATAATGCATTGAACTGTGCTTGTGAATGGTTAACATAGAGTATAGCCATGTTGCTCATAACAGTGTGTTATTCTGCAATCATAACTGAATAGAAGCAATGAGTTTTAAGTGGAATAAGAACTTTCCATACTTTCCCCCATGTACTCTGAATAAACACCATAAACACAAATTGTTTGTCTTTGATGTGAAAAATAAGCTTGCTTATTGCCTAATTTATCTAAAATAGAGTGTCTGATAACTATGTACTTGCAGAAGATAATGCATATCTAAATTTTCTTTCCTATATTATCCTTTCATACTAACTATAAGTAGAGAAACTTTTTTAAAAATAGTTTATTGTCAAGTTGTTTTCCATATAACACCCAGTGCTCATCCCCACAAGTGCCCTCCTCCATGCCCATCACCCCCCTTCCACTCCCCCCACCCCCGTCAGCCCTCAGTTTGTTCTCAGCATTCAAGAGTCTCTCATGGTTTGCCTCCCTCCCTTTCCCCCACTATTTTTCCCCTCTTCTCCTCCATGGTCCTCCGTGAAGTTCCTCCTAATCCTCCTATTCGTGCAAACATATGGTATCTGTCCTTCTCTGCCTGACTTATTTTGCTCAGCATAACACCCTCAAGGTCCATCCATGTTGCTACACATGGGCAGATTTCATTCTTTCTCATTGCCATGTAGTATTCCATCATATAGATAAACCACATCCTCTTGATCCATTTGTC